TCACAAGCTTCAAAATTTCCCCTCCCCCTACCGCATTCCAAAACCAGTCCAGCTCGTCCCCGCCTCCCTAACCTGTTCTTGCTCCCACCTATCCCCTCCTCCCACCTCAAGCCGCACCCCCATCTCCTACCTACTAGCCTCATCCCGCCCCCTTGACCTGTCTGTCCTCCCTGGACTGACCTATCCCCTCCCTAACTCCCCACTACACTCACCTTTACTGGCTCCATCCCCGCCTCTTCGACCTGCTTGTTTCCTCTCCACCTATCCTCTCCTCTATCCATCTTCTATCCGCCTCCCACTCTCTCCCTATTTATTTCAGAATCCTCTTCCCCTCCCCCTTTTCTGATGAAGGGTCTAGGCCCGAAACGTCAGCCTTTCTGCTCCTATGATGCTGCTTGGCCTGCTGTGTTCATCCAGCTGTGCACCTTGTTGTCTCTGAGGCAGATGTGGGGTGTTGCTTTAAGATAAACTTCCCATAGATTTACCAGAGATTTGACTGGTGCTTCTTTAACCTGAGGGTCACCTCACTTCGGGTGAGGGGAGAGGTTGAGAAAGAAAGTCCTTCATGGTAACCTCAGCTGGTACAGGAATTAAACCCATGTTGTTGGTGTCACTTTGCATCGCAAACCAGCCTTCCAGTCAACTGGGGACCTCACTTTAATGTCTCATCTGTAAAGACAGCATTTCTGACAGTGTGGCTCCCCTTTGGTACTGAGCTACTGTCAGCCTGAATTTCTGTGCTGAATTGTTGACCCCACAACCTTCTGTTTCAATTTTGTCGGGTGGGAAGCTGCTATCGACTGAGCCACAGCTTATAGCGAACAAGGCTGGCACAGAACCATTGTGAAGTGCTTTGGTTTGTTTTAATGTGTTGACGGCGATATATAAATGCAAGATGTTGTTGGATTCAACAACAACAACAAAAACAAAGTCTTCTAAAGGTTCTGAGGAAGGGTCACCGGACCTGAAACGTTAATTCTGTTTTCTTTTCCTTCACAGATGCAGCCAGACGTGCTGAGCCTTTTCCAGCAACTTTGTTTTTGTTCCTGGTTTACAGCACCCCCAGTTATGTAGTTGTTGGATTCAAATTTGATACTGCAGAAGATCCCAATCGGCTTGGTTCGGGGTGTATGTGTAAAAAAGTAACGAGTGACCACTGTTAGTGGAGCCTGGGGTTATCAAGCTTGTCAACTTTCCCCTATTGGGGGATTGGGAACAGGCTCCTTCCGGCTCGCTGGCGGCCAGCTCTGCCTGTAGATGGAGTGCGGAGCTGGAGGAACACAGCAGGTTAGGCAACATCAGAGGAGCTGGAAAGTCGACGTTTCCGGTCGGGACCTTTCCTCAGGACCTTTCATGAAGGGTCCCGACCCGAAACATCTACTCTCCTGCTCCTCTGATCGCTGCCTGACCTGCTGTGTTCCACCAACTCCATCTGCACTGGTATCAACTCCGACTTCCAGCATCTGCAGTTTCTTGCAATCTCTCTGCCTGGAGATGGTGCTGTTGGCCAGGTGAGCCGGTGGCAGTGGATAGAAGTCTCGGAGTGTAACGGGTTAAACCAGCAGTTAGTTCCTCACCACGGTCTGTAGAACAGCACGACAGATGCGTGCGGAGAGGCAGAACAAGGTGCCCGTGTGCGTGTATCAGAGAGAGAGAGAGAGAGAGTCAGGACTGCTAAGAAAGTGAAAGCAAACAGAGGCTGGAGTGTAACCCGCTCTCCACAGTCTGACACTGAGGTGAAATTCTGCTTGGTGTTATTGAGAGGAGAAGGGTAGAGCTGTGAGGATCGACCACCCACGCCCCTCGAGGGGCACTGGCCAGCGGGTGTCAGCATCTGACCTGACAGGACGGAAACAATGGAGCTCTAGCACCAGGAGGCACCTCTACCTCTGACACTCTGTCCCACCTCCCGACCCTCCGCACCCGCCAACATCCCTTTCTAACCTGGCCTAAGATGGGGACACAGAGTGGCATCCCAGTTTAACCCCGATACAATGCCAGCTCCTGCTGTTGGTGGGTTTCTGCTGCCGTGGGGAGCCAGGCTGTAAGGGCAGGAGTCGGTAACACGATGATGGCTCGGCTTGTGGTTTTCACACTGCTCCTGAACCCCGTCCTGACCACCTCAACTCAGGTAAGGTGGATGGTCTCATTGCCACTTTGTTGGGAGTTGGTTGAGCAGAGGATGTGCTGAGTCGGGGTGTTGAGGGCTGTTTCTTTCCCTGGAATGTGGGCAAGGCTGGCAGTTCGCTGCCTGCGAATAGTCCAAATCTTTGTTGTTTGTGAACCAGTCTGTGTTCAACTTGATCATTTCGAAGCCAATTATGGAAGCCAATCAGTCTGCTAATCTGTCACCTTCGAGTCAGTAGGTTAAGGGTTCGGGTCTTGCTCCAGCACACACTTCCGCGTTTGCTGATTGTGGGATCTTGCTATGCACAAGTTGGTTACCGCGTTTCCTGTATTACGATTGGGACAACACTTCGAGCACTTTGGCTTAGAATAGGGAGGTTAAAGGAAGTGGGGAAGAGGTCGGGGGCCAGTCCAAGGCGTTACATTTCGAGCAAGGCTCTGATGAAGAGCCATCTCGACTCGAAATGTTAGCTTGCTTTTTCTCCATGGATGCTGCCTGTCCCGCTGTGATGTCCAGAATTTTTGTTTTGTTTTGTTTTCAGTCATTTTGGGCAATTATTTAGAAGCACTTGTTCACACAAAAGGAAGCAGAGACTCAGGATCTCTCTCTCCCTGTCAGAATCAGAATGATAGCAGAGGGTGCAAGGTTGGTAATAGACAGTGAATGGGTGGGCAGCCGTATGGGAACAGGACTGGGGTGGGATGCAAATTAAAATTCCACATCTGGGATCAATATACCTTTGTTGGGTACAGTTAGTAAAGAATACGGAACAAAGGTGTAAGGATGGACTGAAAATATGGATCAGCCAACATCTAACTCAACTACAGAACTGGTTCAAGAGGCTGAATGGTCTCCTGCTGTTTCTATGTTGCACGATCCCCTTTTCTCAATTGTGCTGCTAATCCAAACCCAGTTGTGAAATCGGTGTCATTAGGAGAGACTGCAGCAACAGTCTTGTTGAAACAGTCATCAGTCTCGTAGATCGGGGGGCACTGGGGTTTTGTTTTGGGATTGAGTAATTCAGTAACTGGGCACAGAGAGATTAGGGATTGAGTCAATTTTCTCTGTTTGCCTATGTGTGTTCTGTGGCTGTAGCAGAGTGATGACTAATACAGGAGATTAAGTTTACTCTTGGGACAATGACAGTAATTGACTGCAACCCAAATGTCTCTCTCATCTCTGAGTCAGAAGGTTGTGAGTTCAAGTCCCAATGCAGAAACTCTCAGTGCTGCACTGTTAGTGGTGCTATCTTTCAGGTGAGATGTTAAACTGAAATCTGTCCTGGGTTAATATAAATAACACACTCTTCAGGAGAATCTGAAATCAGGAGTGTAGAATAGAATATAGAGCAAAGAACATAGCACAGTACAGCCCCTTTGGCCACGATGTTGTGCCGAACTTTTACACTAAACCTTAGGTCTATCTAACCTCTGCCCTGACCTTATACTATCATCCATATGCCTATCTAGTAGCCACTTAAATGCCCCTAATGAGGCCGACTCCACTACCCTCTCCGGCAATGCATTCCACGCTCCTACCACTCTCTGAGTAAAGATCCTACCTCTGACGTCTCCCCTATCTCTATCTCCACTCACTTTAAAACTATGCCCCCTCATAATAGCTACCTCCACCCCAGGAAAAAGTCTCTGGCTGTCCACTCTATCTATACCTCTGATCATATTGTACACCTCTATCAAGTCACCTCTCATCCTTCGTCGTTCTAAAGAGAAAAGCCCCAGCTCTCTCAACCTTTCCTCATAAAACCTTCCCTTCATTCCAGGCAACATCCTGGTCATTCTCCTCTGCACCTTTTCCAACGCTTCCACATCTTTCCTGGAATGAGGCAACCAGAACTGGACACAATATTCCAGATGTGGCCAAACCAGGCTTTTGTATAGCTGGAGCATAACTTCACGGCTCTTGAACTCAATCCCTCTATTAATGAAAGCTAACCCACCATACACCTTCTTCACAACTCTATCCACCTAGGTGGCAGATTTCAGGGAACTGTGGACATGAACCCCAAGATCCCTTTGCTCCTCCATACTGTCAAGAATCTATCCATTAATCCTGTATTCTGCTTTCAAGTTTGTCCTTCCAAAATGAATCACCTCACACTTTTCAGGGTTAAACTCCATCTACCACTTCTCAGCCCAGCTCTGCATCCTATCAATGTCCTTTCGTAACCTAGAACAGCCCTCCGCACTATCCACAACTCGACCCACCTTCGTATCATCCGCCAACTTACTAATCCACCCTTCCACTCCTACATCCAAATCATTTACAAAAATCACAAATAGAAGGGGACCCAGAACAGATACTTGTGGTACACCACTCGTAACTGAGCACCATGTTGAATATTTTCCGTCCACTACCACCCTTTGTCTTCTAAGGGTCAGCCAATTCTGAATCCAATCTGCCACATTTCCCCCTATCCCATGCCTCCTTACTTTCTGCATGAGCCTACCATGGGGAACACCCATGCATACCACATACACTGCTCTACCTTCATCCACGTGTTTAGTCACCTCTTCAAAGAATTCAATAAGGCTTGTGAGGCATGATCTACCCCTCACAAATCCATGCTGGCTATCACAAATCAAACTGTGCCTATCCAAGTGATCATAAATCCGATATCTCAGAGTCCTTTCCAAAAGTTTGCCCACCACTGAAGTAAGACTAACTGGCCTGTAATTTCCGGGGTTATCCCTATTCCCTTTTTGAACAAGGGAATGACGTTTGCTATTCTCCAATCTTCCAGCACTATACCTGTGGACAGTGAGGACGAAAAGATCATCGCCAAATGCCCTGCAACCTCTTCCCTCACTTCCCATAGAATCCTTGGATAAATCCAATCAGGCCCGAGGGAATTATCTATCTTCAAGTTCCTCAAAATTCCTAGTACATCTTCCTTACGAACATCCACCTCCTCTAGCCTACCAGCCTGTTTCACACTGTCCTCCCCTACAACTAGGTCCCTCTCAGTTGTGAATACCGAAGAAAAGTATTCATTAAGGACCTCTCCTATCTCTTTAGGCTCTGTGCACAAATTCCCCTTACAATCCTTGATCGGCCCTACCCTTTCTCTGGTCATTCTCTTATTCCTCACATACGTGTAAGAAGCCTTGGAGTTTTCCTTGATCCTATCTGCCAAGGTTTTCTCATGCCCCCTTATAGCTCTCCTAAGCCCTTTCTTCAGCTCTTTCTGGGCTAACTTGTATCCCTCTAGAGCCTTTTCCGATCCTTGTTTCCTAAACCTTATATAAGCATCCTTCTTCCTCTTAACTAGTCGTTCGACCTCTCTTGAGAACCAAGGCTCCCTCACTCGACTGCATCTTCCCTGCCTGCTAGGGACAAACATATCGAGCACACACAGTATGTATTCCTTAATCAATCTCCACATTTCTATAGTGCACTTCCCAGACAGCATCTGTTCCCATTTTATGTTACCCAGTTCTTGCCTAACAGAATTATAATTACCCTTCCCCCAATCATAAACCTTACCCTGCAGTATGTATCTATCCTTTTCCATGACTGTTGTAAAAGTAACAGAGTTATGATCGCTATCGCCAAAATGCTCTCCTGCCAACAGGTCTAACACTTGGCCCAGTTCATTGCCAAGCACCAAATCCAAAGTGGCCTCTCCTTGTGTTGGTCTATCTACATACTGTGTCAGGAATCCTTCCTGAATGCACTGGACAAAATCCACTTCATCTAAACTATTACAACTAAAATGTTTCCAATCAATATTTGGAAAGTTGAAGTCACCCATGACTACAACCCTGTGACTTCTGCACCTTTCTGCCTCCCAATCCGCTCCTCCACTTCTCTGCAACTATTAGGGGGTCTGTAAAAAAACCCCAACAAAGTGACTGCTCCTTTCTTGTTCTGGACCTGAACCCAAACTGACTCTGTAGACATATCATTCTCGAACTGCCTTTCAGTAGCTGCTATACTAGCCCTGACTAGCAATGCCACTCCGCCGCCTCTTTTACCAGCTCCCTATTTCTTTTAAAGCATCTAAATCCCGGAACTTCCAACAACCATTCCTGTCCCTGAGTTACCCAAGTTTCTGTAAAGGCCACAACATCATAGTTCCAAGTACTGACCCATGCCCTAAGTTCATCCGCCTCATTTCCGATACTTCTAGCATTGAAGTATATACACTTCAAACCATCCTTGTGTCCACAATTATGCTCCATCGACCGCATTTCTTTATTAACAACCTCACTCCCTGTTGTGGAGAGATAGTAGGAACTGCAGATGCTGGAGAATCTGAGATAACAAGGGGTAGAACTGGATGAACACAGCAGGCCAAGCAGCATCAGAGGAGCAGGAAGGCTGACGTTTTGGGCCTAGACCCTTCTTCAGAAGAACAGCCTGCTGTGTTCATCCAGCTCTACACCTTGTTATCACTCCCTGTTGTGTCTGTTGGAAGGCTGAATACCTCATCCTCTGAATTACAAATCTGGTTCCCCACCCCCTGCCAATCTAGTTTAAACCATCCCATATAGCTCGAGCAAACCTCCCTCCCAGGATATTTGTGCTCTTCTGGTTCAGGTGCAACCCGTCCTTCCTGTACTGGTCCCACCTTCCCCAGAATGTGCTCCAATTATCCACATAATGGAAGCCCTCCCTCCTACACCAGCCCTGTAGCCACGTGTTTAGCTGCACTCTCTCCCTATTTCTTACCTCGTTATCACATGGCACTGGTAGTAATCCAGAGATAACTACCCTGTTTGTCCTGGACTTCAGAAACAAGTTATTTATTGCTATATATTGGGAGCTGAATACTTTTATTTAACGTTAAAATGATTGTCCTTCATTAGATGGATTTTAGCTGTTCTGTTCTAATAGATTGTTTTTAAGTTCTGCAATCAGCTCCTGAATGTGAATTTGATTCTTTAATGAAAAATTGCTGCTAATTTTGTTAAACCTAGCATTTTCACAGTTTGTGGACAGATGATGTTTCCACCTGTGGGGGAAGCCAAAATTCTGGATCCCCATCTCCTGTGAGAGGGTGGCATGGTGTCATGTAACTGGACATGAATCCACAGAACCAAGCAAATAATCTGTACAGATAACACAGTGTGGAACTGGAGGAACACAGCAGGCCAGGCAGCATCAGAGGAGCAGGAAAATTGACGTTTCGGGTCAGAACCCAAGAAGGGTCAACTTTCCTGCACCTCTGACGTTGTCTGGCCTGCTGTGTTCCTCCACTCCACACTGTATTAGCTCTGACTCCAGCACCTGCATTCTAACTATATCTGACTGAGTAACAATCTGCAGACATGGGTTCAAATTCCACCAAGGTAGTCAGTGGAATTTAAATGCAATTAATAAAACCTGAAATTCAAATCTCATTTCCATGATGGTGACCATGACAACAATCACAATTAGTTGTAAATACCCACTTAGGTACAAGTGACTCCACAGCAATGTGGCCGACTCTTAACTGCCCATGTTATCAGAATTAGATTTATTAGAATTAAGTTTATTGTCACATGTACTCGAGTTTAAAAAAAGAACAGGAGTAGAGTGAAAAGTGTACAATGTCACCAACACACGGTGTCATCTTAGGTACAAGATACCTAGGTGCAAATCTTAGGTCCACAGATAGAGAAAATAGAGAACAATCGTTACTCTACATTCCAATATAAGTTAGGAAAATAAGAAATAAAGCTATTACAGTCTTTCTATAATGGCTTTGAAGTGGTCTCACCAAGATCCACCGGTTTCCAGGAGTAGCCACCTTTATACCAGGCCCACTGGATGCCATCCCCGGGTTGCTGTCCGTCCCCACTTTGCTCCGGGCCACTGGCTGCCATCCACGCTCCGCTGGTCGCCCCTGCTCTGCTCCAGGCCGCTGGCACAAAAGCACAAAGACAGAAGAGAGAAAAAAGAAACGAGAGAGGGAAAATAAACAAAAAATGGACAGCGCGGTCAAGCTCCAACTGGACCATTCTACTCCACCACCGTTTTAGATCTATAATCTATCAATACAAAGCGAGCCACTTAGATCAAGGGCCAGGAGGATGGGCAATAAATGTTGACCTTTTGAACTATAGCAACATGAAATAATGTGGAAAAAAAAACAGGATGGCGTCCTCAAGGAATCCAACAGAGAATTCAAGAGAAATTTCTTTACCCAGAGGATAGCGAGAATGTGGAACTCACTACCACACAAAATAGTGTGAGATGAAGTGTACAGATGAATTTGAAAGGAAGGTGGACAAAGTGGGAGAGTGGGAGAGGGACGTTGGAACTTCTCAAACCTGCTACACCATTCAATGAGATCGGGGCTGATCTGTGAGTTGACTTGACATATCCTTAGTAACTTTGGATCCATTCAAATCAGTGTCAGTGTCAGATTTAGAATTAACAATTGATTAAGCATCATTTGCCATTTATGAAAGAGAGTTCCAAGCTTCTTGTGATGAAAGATGTGTGATTGAATAATTATCATTTTTGTTTTGAAGAATTTGGATTCCAAGCAAGTGACATGGGAGCGTGTGGTTTTTGCAAAGGTGTTCAAAAATTAATGAACCATGACTTAAAGCCAGTGTGTGTCAGAAAGAAGGTGACTGCAAAGATCCCTGGAATGTTCATGGAATAAAATACTTAACATATAAAGGTTTATTGCAGCTAAAGGAAAATTAAGACAACAGGCTCAGCAGAATCTATAATGAGCAAGTTTTTTTGAAGAATTTAATTCAAAAGCAAGTTAGTTCAATTCAAAAGAGACCTGAATTTATTTTTATTCATTCATGGGAGGTGGGTGTTGCTGGCTGGGTAATCCTTTTTTGCCCATCTATAGATGTCCCTGAGAAGGTGAGCTGCATTCTTGAACTGCTGCAGCTTGATGTAAGTTGACCCACAATGCTATTTGGGGGGAATTTCAGGATTTGACCTCACTATTCTGAAGGAATAGCAACATAATTTCAAGTCAAGGTGGTGAGTGTCTTGGAGAGGAACTTGCACCCATGTGGTGGTGCTCCCATGTATCTGCTGCTCTTCTCCTTCTAGATGGTAGTGGTCGTGGGTTTGGAAGTGTTATGGACCAGACCAGACCCCCTCAAAATAGTTTAAAAAGGTAGCCTTGATCCTTACTTTTTATTATTTTAAAGGTAGATGTGAAGTGCGTGTTCCAGATGTTGACATTAAGTGAAACACAATTTATTTAAACACTGTGGTTAAAATACAAACAAAAGAAAGAAGAATTTAGAAAAGCTTAATTATTGGAAAACTTAAACAAATAATATATGCATTACCTATTACTAATTAACTGTTCCAATAACGTAACATCCCATAAATGGACCCCTTGGAAAAAAGGTAAATTCAGACACTGATTCTTACATGCCGTTCTCCAATCTAAGAGAAAAAAAACGTCAAGAGAGATTTCGGAGAAAGTAGCAGCTAGGAATCATTTACTGAAGTTTCCTACTTTTTTTGTAGGACTGACTGCTAAAGCTAAAAAATACTAGAAAGCCTGTTCGGTGAGAACTGGCCACTCCCATTCAAGCTCCCATTCACAGGAACTAAAAAGAAACAGTTAAGTCAAACCTATAGATTTGTCCATCCGTTAACCATCAAGACTTTAAGGATGGAAAGATGTGCTGATGAGTGGCAGGAGTCTTCTGGGAAGATAGATATTGGCTTAGACCAATTGGGTCAAATGGCCTATTTCTGTGTTACAAATTCTGTGTAATTATATGTGTTTATTAAATCTGTCAGAACAAGGCTGCGTCAAGGTGGATGGAAGAAACTGACTGCAACTGTGCCTTCAAAATGCCCACCCCAGTGGAGACAAGGTGGAGAGGTGGCAAGACCTGGGCCCCGGGCTTTCACCCACAGGAGATGGCAAACTTTGGGTCAAAGTGCAAGTGTTATTGCGGAGTCAACCCATGTGAGGACAAGAATGAGCATGGAGAGGCGAGGGCGAAGATAGAAGTCTCAGATTTGGCAACTGTAAGTTTCAGACCCTGGCCGGCATAGTCTTTGGTTCTGCCTTCTGTTGCCAGCTGCTGTAGTTAAAACTGAGAGAGAAAGAGAGAGAGGAACAGCAATAACCATTTGTGTCCCAAGCCCATAGAAAGGCTCATCATCTGTTGATGCTTGTACACCACAAGGTCAACTGGGACAGATAACATGGTGAAAAACAGCAGGTCAATCAGTTTGCAAAGAGAAAAAATTTCAGGTGTAAACAGATCTCGAATATTAGCAAAATTCAGTGAATGTGAGAGAGGGAAGGAGAACAGGAATACTGCAAGAACTCAGTGAAGGTTAACTGTAAAGAACTGAATGTGTGGTTAGTGTTGTGTCTGTTCTTCCCTCATTACCTCTATCCTGCATTCCCTTTATCGTTCATTCCCCTCATGTTTCTTTCTGTGTCTTCAGCTTTCGTGCATATTTACAAAATGCCATCATGGTACGTAGGCATCATTGGCTAGTCCAATATCTGTTGTCCATCCTTAAAATCATTGAAAAGGTGACAATGAGTTTTCTTCTTGAATGACTGCACGCCTGATAGTGTAGGTAGATCCACACTGCTGTTAGGATTTTGACCCAGTGACATTGAGGGAATGGCAATATATTTTCAATAGAGTGTGGTATATCGCATGGAGGGGAACTGGCAGCTGTTGGTGTTTCCATGTAACTGCTACCCTCATCCTTGTGTTTGGAAGCTGGTGTTGAATGAACTTTGGTGATTGGCTACAGTGCATCTTGTAGTTGGTACACACAACTGCCACTGACAGTCAGTGATGGAGGGACCTAATGTTGAAACTGGTGGGTGATATGCCAATCAAATGGGCTGCATTGTCCTGGATGGTGTCAAGCTTCTTAAGTTAGCGAACGTTTCATCATGTGGGGCAATGTTTTAGGCTATGAGGTGGCAGATTTAAACCGAGATGAGGAGGAATTAGTTCTCTCAAACGATCATGAATCTGTGAATTCACTTTTCCAGAGTGCAGTGGATGCCAAGACACTGATTAAACTTAGGAGGAGATAGACAGATTTTTAATTAGTCACGGGTTAAAGGACTATGGGAGCTGGCATAAAAGTGAAGTTGAAGCCGAGATGAGATTTGCCATTATCACATTGAATGGCAGAATGGGCTTGAAAGACTGAATGACCAACTCCTGTTCCTAGTTCTTTTGTATCTTCACAATCAACATAATCAAAGACCCCTCCTACCCCAGTTATACACTCTTCTAACAGGCAGAAGATATAAGATTTTGAATTCATGTACAAATAGATTCAAGAAGTGCTTCTTCCCCACTGTTATCGGACTTTTGAATGAACCTCTCAAATGTTTATGTCGATCTCTCTCTCTCTGCACATTCTCTGTGGCTGTAACTCTGTATTTTGCACTCTGTTCTGCTACCCTGGTGCACTTTGTATCATACGATCTACCTGTATATCCCGTAATATAACACTTTTCATTGTATCTCAGTACATATGACAACAATTAGTCAATCAATCAATTAATATTCTTGAGTATTGTCGACTTGAACTCATCCATTACACTGCTTACTTGTGGCTAGTATGTGGTGGAGATGCTTTGGGGAATCAGGAGATGAGTTGCACTGTGTACGATTCCTAGCCTCTGACCTGTCTCAAAGCCATTGTATTTATATGGTTGGTGCAATTTCGTTTCTAATCAATGTTAGCCTCCAGGATGTCGACAGTGAGGGATTCAGTGGTGGGAATACCATTGAGTATTAAGGGGAGATGATTCACATCTCACTTGTTGGGAGACAATCATAGCCTGGCACTTGTGTCGCGTGAAGTTTGCTTCCTCCTTGCTTACCCCATCTCCTGCAATAACATTGTTCTCATTAGAAAGAGTGACCTTTAACCCATTACCGTGAGTATAGGCCAAGGGGTTATCTGATCCTCATGTCTTGTTCCCTACAGATCCAGTCACTGGCTATTGACCTCCAGGACATCTTTGACAATGAGGAGACCAAGAGATTAAACTCGTACTCAGCCAAACTCAACAGCCAACTGAGGAAACTGGAGAAGGTACAGGACATTCATCCCCAGAGAAGGTGATATTCAGTAACCTTCTTGAACCACTGCAGGTCCTGGAGCGGAGGTTCACCCACCTTGCTGTTAAGGTGGGAGTTTCACGGTTTTGACCGAGTGACAGTGACAAGAAACTGGGCCTGGTGACTTATCAGCTACTTCAAAAGCTGGTAAAGACCACGACCACATTGTAGCTTTGGGGCTGGAGTCACATATATACCTAGACCAAGTAAGGTCTGCAGGTTTCCTTCCCTCAGAGAACAAGTTGTAATTTTACAAGAGATGAGATCAGCCATGATTATATCGAATGGTGGAACAGTTTTGAGGGGCTGAGTGGTGTACTCTTTCTCCTAGTTCTTCTGTCTGTTTCTGGGCTGTAAAATTCTATGTTCGCATGTGATAGCTTAGGTGGCTGAAAGAAACAGGCAACTTATCCGGGTCCAATATTCTCAAATATTGTGCTGCTTATTAAATGAAACGGATGTTTTGCCCTCATATGAGCGTTTGTTTGTAATCAGAGGCTGGAACGTAATGTTCCCAGTGTCAACGCCCTCCTCAGAGAGACTTTCGAGAGGATTGTTCAGCATCGTTCCATCTACCAGAACTTCTCCATCGCCATGAGGGACGTCAGGAAGGAGATCAGCAGACTCAACTTCCTACTGCGGAAGCAGCAGCTCCTCCCACTCGATAAAAGAACAAAGGTACCAGGAATCACTGGGCTGAGATCGAAGGTCAAACTTCTTCTGGGGCGGGTGGTCAGACCAGGGCTGGTGGGAAACCATCGTTCCTCTCACCTATTGCACGACAACATTTAAATCATGGAATCGCACTGTGCAGCTCCGATACTCTGTCTCCGCAGCTTGTGATGACAATGCACTTCATCCATCATTACCCTGGTAAAACTGGTGATGGCAGCTTTCTTGAACCACTGCAGCCTTGGGGTGTCGGGGCACCCAGACAGTGCTGTTACGGAGGGATGTTGACCCAGGGACAGTGAAGGAACAGCAATATCGTTTCTGGGTCAGGAAGGTGAATGACCTAAAAGGGAACTTCCAGACAAAGAAAAGCTGTTCCCATTTGTTGATTGTGCACGATTGTACAAGATTTGGGGTGGCACAGTGGTTCAGTGGTTAGCACAGTGCCAGGGACCCGGGTTTGATTCCAGCCTTGGGTGACTCTCTGTGTGGAGTATGCATGTTCTCCATATGTCTGTGTGGGTTTCTTCAAGGTGTTCTGGTTTCCTTCCACAGTCCAAAAATGTGCAGGTTGTAGACTGGCTGTGCTAAATTGCCCCACAGTGTCCAAGGATGTGCAGGTTAGGTGGATTGGCCGTGCTAATTTTCCCCATAGTGTCCAGGGATGTGCAGGCTAAGTGAGTTACCTACGGGAAATGCGAGATTACGGAAATAGGGTGGGAGGGCCTTGGTCTGGGTGGGATGTCCTTCGGAGGGTCAGTGCAGACTCGATGGGCCAATTGGCCTGTTTCTGCACTGTAGGGATTCTATGATCTAGGTAACGGAGAATTAAGATTTCAGGGAGGAGATGGAGGGGCAGCATCTTTACACAGTGCTGATTACCATGAACTCACTGCCTATGAGAGTGGTTGAAGTGGAATCAGCGAATAGTTTGAAGATGAAGTTGGATGGGTATTTGAAGGGAATAAAATTGCAGAGCGACAGGGAATGGAACTGATGGGTTTACTCTACAGAGACCCGGCATGGACCTGATGACCTCTTTCTGTGCAGTTATGGCTCTAATGGATTTTTCCCATCTGTATAGTTCCCTTGATCATCTTGGTGATGGATGTGGCGGATTTGGAAGATGCTTTTGTAAGCCCTGATGGATTTGTCACAGTGCATCTTGCATATAGCGCACACTACTACAACTGTACATCACTGGCAGAGGGAGTAAATGTTGACAGTGTTATGGGATACTAACGAAGTGGGCTGCTTTGTCCAAGAGGCTGTCAAGCATCCTGAGGGAAAATCTTCCCTCCCATTGGCCCCACTACATTTTTCACAAGTGAATGTTAATAAAATTGCCTGGAGCATTGAGAGAAATTTCTCCTCCTCGGGGTTTGTAGGTGTCCTTGGAAGTGTTGTGGTTCTGCAGATCATAGGAACAGTCTCTTTGCTCTGTCAAAGCCCCTCTTGATTCTGAATACCTCTGGGTAAATCACTCATTACGTCTCTCTGCTTTAAGGCCTAACTGCTGTTTTGTTACAGAATGTGGCCAGGCTGACCCCAAGCAAGCCACCGCCCCTGAATAACAGTATGTCATGGGTCAACAGCACAAATGACCAGCTCAGGCCTCAGGCCCCTTCCAATCCAAAGCCCAGGACCAGGCTGCACATATCCATTGCTCGGCCTTCAGTACTTCCTCCTAAGACAGCAAAGGAACGAACTTCAGACGAGAACAGAAACATGAGTAAGTTCAGGATTGATGCTTTCAGAAGATTCACAAAAGCTCAGCATACTTCCAAACACTGAGTAATTATACTTTTGGAGTACTGTGTACAATTCTGGTTGCCCTGCTATAGTTAGGATATTATTAAATTGGAAAGAGTTCTGAAAAGATTTACAAGGATGTTGCTGGGACTGGAGGGTTTGAGTTGTAGGGAGAGGTTAGATAGGCTGGGACTTTTTTCACTGGAGCGTAAGAGGTTGAGGTTTATAAAATCATGAGTCATGAGGGACATGGATAAGGTGAATAGCAAGGGTCTCTTCCCTAGGGTAGGGGAGTTCAAAACAAGAGGGCATGATTTTCAGGTGAGAGGAGAAAGATTTAAAAGGGACCTGAGGAGCAATGTTTTCACACAGAGAGTGGTGCATATGTCGAATAAACTGCCGGAGGAATGGTAAATGTAGGTACAGTTCCAATATTTAAAAGACATTTGGACAGGTACTTGAGTAGGAGAGGTTTGGAGGGATATGGGCCAAACACAACTAAATGGGACTAGTTTAGTTTGGGAAACTTGGTCGGCACGGACAAGTTAGACCAGAGTGTCTGTTTCCATGCTGTATGACTCTATGACTCTAAGACTCTATGATCATTCTCCCCCCAGAGTCTCTGGGAGGTGCCAATTGAGACTAGGCTTCAATGGTGTAGGCCTTTGCTCCACCAGCTTCTCCCCACCATTTTGAAGCTTCGAACTTCCATGACTCTTGGTGAGAACTCTGAGAGTGGGGGTGGAGAGGGCAGGAACAATTTTAGAGCCTCAGCATTCTTTTAAGACTGGACCCTTATTTGAAGCCAAAGTTGGGCCTCAATGATTGGTGTTTTAGGCCATGTCCAGCCCTTGCTGCCTCAGAGCTTGTGACCCCAAAATCCTTTCTCATAACCCTACTGTGGGGTGGGATGGGGTGGGTGGGGGTGGGGAGAACAGCACAGCCTATACATTGGGGAGCACTGGTGTAGGGACTGCCCACTGTATCCAGTGAGTGACTAATCACATGGTGCAGACACTGCACACAGAGGGAGTACTTGCTTGGGCAGTCTCATTGATGTCTTGAGCGAGGGCAGCGTGATGACTGGTCTAAATCCAATCAGCACCGGATTTGGTTCTTGCAGTGAGGAGTTGCTGTTCATCGTGGCTATTTTCGTACAGAGGTTACTATCGTGATACTGTTTTGTAAATTGTGCTCATGTGTCATGAAAGAAGCAGGATGGAAAGTAGCATTTAGAAGTGATAGGCTGGTTATTGTAATTTTCTGAGGACATCAGTCTTTAGGAGGATGATGCTTAGTGAAAGTGTTGCATTTACAGCAGGTTTGGTGCTGCACTAGTTAATGGGACTGTGGTATTTCCAGTAGTTTAAATGCTGTGCTGGTTAATGAGAGTGTGGTGTCGACAGCAGGTTTGTGCTGTGCTGGTTAGTGGGAGT